CAGGACTGAGCTCTGCTCTGGGGGGAGCAGGGACAGCCCCCAGGGAATGGCTGGAGCTGTGTCAGGGCAGGCTCAGGGTGGATCTCAGGGAAAGGTTCTTCCCCCAGAGGGTGGTTGGCACTGAACAGGCTCCCCAGGGCAGTGGGCACAGCCCCAAGGCTGCCAGAGCTGCAGGAGGGTTGGGATGATGTGGGGTGATGCAGGATGTCCCATGTGCATGTGGGGTGCTCCAGGATGATATGGGTGATGTGGGGTGATGCCACGTGCCCCCTGGCAGTGTGGGGTGCCCCAGGGTGACGTGGGGAGATGCAGGATGCCCCATGTCCATGTGGGGTGCTCCAGGGTGGTTTGGGGTTCACCATGGCAATGCTGGGTGCACCATAACAATGTGGGGTGCCCCAGGGTGATGTGGGGTGATGTGGGGTGATGCCAGGTGCCCCCAGCAGCCTGTGGTGCATGAGGGTGCTGCAGGTGCCCCGTGGCGCTGCACGACCCTTTAGGGGGAGTGCACATGGAGAGGGGGACACCCCACCTTGTCGAGCTCTTGGGGGACCACAGGAAGATCCCCCGACCTCCCCGGGTGTGCTGTGTTGCAGAAAGCAGCTGGTTACCACCTGGACCTGTTCTGGGTGGGCATCCTGATGGCCGTGTGCTCCTTCATGGGGCTGCCCTGGTACGTGGCCGCCACCGTCATCTCCATCGCCCACATCGACAGCCTGAAGATGGAGACGGAGACCAGCGCTCCAGGAGAGCAGCCCCAGTTCCTGGGTGTCCGGTGAGGAAGGGCCGGCCCTCCCCCTTCCTTCGGGGCGGGGAGGGATTGGGGGAGGGATCCCAAACGCAGCCGGCTGATTATCCCGCTCCTCCCACCGTTGCAGGGAGCAGAGGGTGACCGGCATCATCGTCTTCGTCCTCACGGGCATTTCGGTCTTCCTGGCCCCCATCCTGAAGGTAAAACATCCCTGTTCCCACATCCCTGTGCCCTCTCTGCAAGAAAAAAAAAAAAAAAAAAAAAAAGGATTCTGCCCCCTCCCCATGGCCCCTCTCCAGGAGATAAAACATTCCTGTTCCCACATCCCTCCCTAAAGAAAAAACTGGATTCTGGATTTTTCCCCCTCCCCATGGCCCCCGTCCCGGGGGTAGAACATTCCCATTCCCACATCCCTGAAAACGCCCAGGAAAAGCTGGATTCTGGCCCCTCTCCATGACCCCCACCCTTAAGGCAAAATATTCCCGTTCCCAAATTCCAGCTCCTCCCCACAAATGTCCAGGAAAAGCTGGATTCTGCCCCTTCCCCATGGCCCCGTCCTGGAGGCAGAACATTCCCATTCCCACATCCCAGGTGTCCAAGAAAAAGCTGGTTTTTTCCCCTGCATTGGTCCTGGTCCCTGGGAATGAGTTCCATGTTTTTTCCATGTTCCCAGTACATTCCCATGCCGGTGCTCTACGGTGTCTTCCTGTACATGGGGGTGGCGTCACTGAACGGCATCCAGGTGAGTTCTCCTCCTGCTCCTCCTCCTCTTCCTCCTCAGTGGCCCAGAACTTGGGGGGGGAAAAGGAGGATTTTGACCCCAAAATTTCCGTGCTTCCAACATTTTGACTCCAGACTTTCCGTGTCTCCAGTGCTTTAACTCCAACATTTCTTTGCAGCCAATATTTCGACCCCAAGTTTCTGTGCTTCCAACATTCTGCCTCCAAAATTTCCCTGCACCCAAAACTTTGACCCCAAAATTTCTGTACCTCCAACGTTTTTACCCCAAAATTTCCACGCATCGAACATTTTGGCTCCGCAATATCCACGCGTCCAAGATTTTGGCTCCAACCTTTCCGCGCACCCAAAATTTTGCCTCCAAAATTTCCACACTTCCGACATTTTGATTCCAGATTTCCGTGCACCCAAACTTTTGACTCCAAAATTTCCATGCACCCAAAATTTTGACTCCAAAATTTCCATGCGCCCCGCACTCTGCGGCAGCAAAACTCTCCGAGAAACACCCAAAAAAAAAAACAACCCCAAAAAACCCACCACACAAATCACCCATTCTGGGGACTCAAAGAGAGTTTTCCTGAGATAGGGGGGGTTAGGATTAACAGGGATCCTCCTCCCCTGGCAGTTTTGGGATCGGTGCAAGCTCTTCCTCATGCCGGCCAAGCACCAACCTGATTACGTGTTCCTGCGGCACGTCCCCCTGCGGCGCATCCACCTCTTCACCCTGGTGCAGATCATCTGCCTGGCCGTGCTCTGGATCCTCAAATCCACCGTGGCTGCCATCATCTTCCCTGTCATGGTAACGCCAGCCTGGCTTGGATTGGGTTTTTTGGGGGATTTAAGGGGGTTTTGGTGACTCCCATCCCCAGGGCTTGGAGCGAGAGGTGCCAGGAGGGAAGGGCAAAATGGGGTCCTTGTGCTCCTGTGTTTGTGTGGTCTGGCCAGCGTGGC